CCGGCAGTTGAATGGAGGATGGTATATTTCCAGCTTTTCTTCAAAATGGACTGGAAATAATCCTAGCTATTCTCATAAAATTGTATAGAGCTAGTCTGTACCACCCAGTTGGTTGGCAGCAAGGGAGGTATATATACCTGAAGTGGGTCGTAGAGATCAACATCCTAAATCGATACGACCAATCAGCCTTACATCCTTTGTGTTGAAAGGACTTGGGAAGATACTGAACAGACATATCAGGAGGATGGTATTATATGCATCCCCCCTGAATAACCACCAGTATGCTTATCAAACCAGAAAATCGACAGATTTAGCATTTAACAACCTTGTAGAGAAAATCTCCCAATTCCTTGACAACGAGGAGATTGCGGTTGCTGTATTCCTCGATATTGAAGGAGCATTTGACAATGCACTACCTAAATCTATAGGATCGTCTCTGGCTACGAAAGATATAGAATCGACCATATCTGGCTGGATCTATGCTATGCTGGTAAACAGAACTGCAACTACGACTCTTCAAAGCGAGGCCATTAGTTCAAGGGTCACCAGAGGCTGCCTTCAAGGTGGGGTAGTCTCTCCCCTTCTGTGGTCGCTCGTGATGGATAGTCTGCTTGATGCCCTCGAAAAATGAAAAGTAGATCTGCAAGCTCATGCAGATGACCTTGTCATCTTGGCAAGGTCCACGTCGGGAATGATAGCTTGTAATATCCTCCAAAGCACGTCGGACGTTATTCACAGTTGGTGCCTGAGGGAGCAGATGTCTGTCAACCCCAGCAAAAGTATAATAATCCCCTTCACCAGGAGGAGAAAATTTAACGATCTAACGCCACTTTCCCTTAATGATGAGGTCATTCCATTTGGAACGGAGGTAAAATATCTTGGCATTGTCTTTGATGAAGATTTCACCTGAAACGCTCACTTGGAAAAAGTTTCACACAAAGCCAGACAGACCCTATGGACATATCGGAAGATTTGTTGACAAACTTTGGGTTTAGGTCCCAAACAACTTCTGATTTTATGCCTCCAACTATCAACTACAAACTATCTTATAAAGTACTGTTCCCGGGTAGAGAGGACTGGATCCTCCGGGAGAAGGACATATTAAGAGCATATAGTTGTTGGTTCACAGATGGATCAAAAACACCTACAGGTTCTGGTGCAGGTATTTTCAGTCGCAATATCAACCTGCCTAGGAACTTATGCGACTGTATGTAAAGATCTGAGCACACATAGGGCCACAATAAACCCTTGCTAATTGCGGTGGAGAGCGGAATAGGCCCACTCATTTTTGACGAACCACATAGGGACAGACAACGGAAAGCGACTTTGTTTTATATTTTGTAGTGCTGAAGTATTTTGACAGATCATTGTTCATATGTTCATCCAAGGATTTGGAAAACTATTTGATCAAACTGTCCAAACTACTCCTCATGGTTAGTAGAAGTTCAAAGGACTTGTAATACTCTCACCGTGCAGAAAATCTTGGAAAGTATACAAATATAGATAACATAAACGTTATCAACATCCTCTCTACATTTTTCTGGAGAGAGAGGCTAGATGGACGGCATATAGAATTGTGCACATTGCCAATTGCACAAATCAATTTAATGCAGAGTGCAACAGACTGTTGGTTGACACTGGAAGTCCCAGCATTCTGGAAACGACTCCTGATTTTATGCCTCCAACTGTTAACTACAAACTATTTTATAAAGTACTGTTCCCGAGTAGAGAGGACTGGATCCTCCGGGAGAAGGACATATTAAGAGCATATAGTTGTTGGTTCACAGATGGATCAAAAACACCCACAGGTTCTGGTGCAGGTATTTTCAGTCGCAATATCAACCTGCCTAGGAACTTATGCGACTGTATGTAAAGATCTGAGCACACATAGGGCCACAATAAACCCTTGCGAATTGCGGTGGAGAGTTGAATAGGCCCACTCATTTTTGACGTACCACATAGGGACAGACAGCGGAAAGCTGTCTTATATTTTGTAGTGCTGTAAAGCTGTTTTATATTTTGTAGTGCTTTTTGACAGACCATTGTTCATATGTTCATCCAAGGATTTGGAAAACTATTTGATCAAACTGTCCAAACTACTTCTCATGGTTAGTAGAAGTTCAAAGGACTTGTAATACTCTCACCGTGCAGAAAATCTTGGAAAGAATACAAATATAGATAACATAAACGTTAATGATGTGAATGAAATTTCCAAAGTAAAAAAATTCGGTATGATCTACTCCTACTCTTATTCCTGAAATATTTCTAATGATTATATGTCTGGAAAATGTGTAAAATTGAACTTCATCATCTCTTCACATCATGGATAAATTGAAATTGAAAGTAATTTCCATTTCATTATGATTGATTAACAACTAATCACTATTTGGCAAAATGAAAAATTAATTTTCGCGGCACACTTCACTAATCACGTTCTCACATTGTCACTTGAACTACTATAATTTCATTTTTATAGATCGATCTGCAGTGGATGGTGATGAGCTGTGATCCCACCAGGCCAGAGAGAGAAACTTGTTCAGAGCTTCCATTTGTAAGTCTGTTTTTCATTACATTTCGTTATTAGAAATTTAATAATATATTATCTTTTACATATCGTCTACAGGTTGTCAATTTGGACTACAGTGGATATGAGGTTTTTGTGAGAGAGCATCCTGTATTCGACGATTTATTTCAAAAGTCTGTAATATTACGAATTATTCAACTATGGTGTTCTGTATCTGTATCTGTAGAGTAGGGAGGGCGAGTGTAAGCCCACGCACTTAGGCCACATGTGACCCATTGTACATCCTACCGAGGAGTTGTTCTCCTAGGTCATCGTACATCCTGTCCTTTCCAGGAAGGTGGACAGGTCACTGGGAAACATCTCCTTTATATCGGCAGGTGTAGGCCAAGATTCGCCGAACACACACTCTCTCTTATTGACGATAACTCCAAGACTTGTTCAGAGCTTCCATTTGTAAGTCTGTTTTTCATTACATTTCGTTATTAGAAATTTAGTAATATATTATCTTCTACATATCGTCTACAGGTTTTCAATTTGGACTACAGTGGATATAAGGTTTTTGTGATTGTTATTATTCATATTTCTTCTAACAATAACAATGACAGAAATCAAATTGGGTCTGAACACCTTATCGAGAAGAGGTACATACAGTGTCATCCCCAAGTAGATATGCATCATATGGGATACTTATTTATTAAGGATTTTTCGACAAAAAGTTATTCTTGATAAAAGTTTGTGCATCCCCTGAAAATAAATTTGCACTAACAAAATACAGTACAACACACGTAATATACGAGGAGCCTACAAATATTTGATTTCAAGACAAGAGTAAAATATTCTTATTTTGGAAAATAAAAAATATTAATAATAATAGATGGAAGCATCCTACACCATCTGGATGCCGGAGAGACGTATACTTACCTCGGGGTGGAACAACGCCACTCAACAGTAACAACAGTGAAAAACTCTACGCGGCAAGTATCAGCACAAACTTCGATAGATCTGGTTATCGGAACTGTCGGGGAAGAGTAAAGTTGCTGCAACAAATATGCTTGCCGTTCCAATCTTCTCGTCCACTTCACTACTCGTTTGCATCCCAAATTGTCCGTTCCATGGTTGTACTTTCCCCGACAACAGGGAGGCCGTGGACTTTTGAGTTTGAGTGTCTACATGACAGAATGGTACTGGATATAGCCTCTAAAGTCGTCAGGAGTTCGGATCCCCTTCTCTGCATGGTCCGTGACCATGAGAGAGGAGGAATTGGAGCATTTCTCCTTAGGGCAGCTGCCCGAGCAGCTGATTAACTCGGTATAGTTTTCAACTCTGAACGAGGTGACCACAACTCTGTCACCGAGTTGGAACCCATTCAGCAAAAAGCTCAGATAAAAGCCACAGAGATCACCTTACTTCTGCGGAGACACAAGGATAAGCCAATGCATGGGGTCTTCTTCAATAACATTCGAGACCTGGGCTTATCAAAGCGCCTGACTTTCGCTTTTCTCAGGTCGAGTGGGCTGAAGTCGGAAACACCATCATGGCTTGCCAGGCATTAGTGATAAAGGTTAACAGATCCAATAGATGACTATCTGAAAGATGGATCATTAGGAGTGAGGTAGTGTTTGAGCCGACTGCGTCACTTTTGAGACGATTCAGACAATTCGGCATTAAAATGAAAAGGTATATGAATTAGTGAAGAAATTTGATAGTTTAGACGCTCAGATTAGGAAATTGAACAAAAGTTTATGATAATGAGGTTCACGTCATTCAAGTTATTCGGAATTTCTGTATTGTTACTTTTTCTCAAAATTTCTAGTGATCTCAATGTGCTCCAAGTTGCGTTACAATTTTTTTTCGCAAGAATAAAATCGGTGTATTCTTTTCTCTCTTGAATATTTCAATTATTAGTCCAAATGTACTTTCCTGACTCTCACACTATTCCAATTCAAGATTATTGTTTCATTGAAAATGAGGTACTCATTTATTGAGAATGATATAAATTGTTATTTAGCGGTGTAGGGTATTAAGCATTCAACTGAAGTTGAGCAGCCTTCTGAGAGAAGTTGGTAAATCGGAAAAATACAACATGTGTTAGAAAGAACATTTATTTCCATTTTTATTTCTGCAGAGGGTGAGGCCCGTTCCAGCTATTCCCAGGCCCCCAGTTCCAATGCCACAAACCGCCTGTAATGTAACTTGTCCAAGAGGACCGCCAGGATTCAACGGGACTAACGTAAGTTTTTTTTCATTGAAATTAAAAAACATTACAAGAACATAGGTTTTCACGGCCCAAGTTACGATTGAAGAGAACAAAATCCGATTCGGAATTTGTTTTCTCTTTAAAGATATTATTCATTATTG